CGCCCCCCCCCCCCCCCCCCCGTGTGCGCAGTGAGGAAGGGAGTCGGGCTGGGGCAGGTGCTGTATGGGTGGGGCAGAGTGTGGGGCAGCAGGGTGGCTCATTCAGGTGGGGGGGGGGTCTTGTGCTCCCCTGGGGGAGGCATGGGGGGCACGTGCTCCCCAGATCTGTGCACAGGGTAAAGGCAGGCTGCCTGCTGCAGGCTTGGGGCCGGGGCTGCATCAGCCAATTGTCAGTGGTGGGGCTCGCCCAGGGTTTTGAGTGGGTGGCAGCAGTGCTGGGAAGGTGGGGGGCTTTGGCAAATTTTGGGTCAGCTGTAGCCCACCCCATAAACCCCTTCCCAGTGACGCCACCACCATCTGCTCTGCCTGAGCATAGCCCTGGCCCAGCCCTCTTGCCAGGAAGAGGCTGGTGCAGCCCCAGCCCTAAGTGTGCAGCGGGCAGCCCGCCCTCACCCCCTGCACAGATCCAGGGGATGTGCCCCCCATACCTCCTTCGGGGTGCACAGTGGTGGGAACTAAGCCCCTCCCCACCTCCCTGCGCCCTCTGGACAAGGTGTCCCTGGCTCTGTCCTGTGCTCCACCCCAGTTGCGCAGCATCTGTCCCTGCCCCAGCCCCATTTCCTCTTTCACCGTAAGGGCCTTGATCTTCCCTACCCCACGCCCCTTCCCTCCAACAGACTTACCAGCTAGATGCTGCTTTCCAAGCTGCGGGGCTGCATATCGGTAATCGGATCGGTATTCGCCGATACGGCTGGTCAATAATCGGCCATTAGTATCGGCCCAGAAAATCTTTATCGGTGCACCATTAGTCAAAACTGAAAAAGGAAGGGGAGCCTAGAGATTCTGGCTGTAGCAGCCTGGCTCATGAGCTGCATGCGGCCCCCCAGTTGGACAGCCCTGATCTAGAGAAATGTAAGGAGTTTAGACTCTCTAATCCTTTTTGCATCCTTTGAGACACCATGTAATTTTACTCTTTTAAAGTCTTCCCCCCTTCACCCCCCCCCCCCCCCCCCCCCCCCCGAGTAATCTTAAAATACCAGGTTTTGACTATGGTAGTTGATGATGATGAGCAATGCTGTGCACTTTGTATTACCATCTCTCCATGCCTCCTTTTGTTTAGGTAAAACAAAGTTACTTATTGAAAAAGAAGCATCATTAAATAGTTCCAGATCTTTTGTCTGACAGGATGGCGATCCTGGTATATAGAATCCTAAGGTGACACATTTGAAGAATGGCAAATATGGGATCTTTAGGCTTAAGAGGGAGATGAAAATAGTTGGGATGGGTACAAAAAGCTTTGGTATTGTTGGATCACAGAACTTCATTTATGACATAAAGTGTCTTCTCTAACACCAATATTAAATCATAGTCTGTTACTGACCAGCAACATTTATCTTAACTAAAGATTGTAAGGGACACTGAATGTGCCAGTGGCTGTGCTGTCCTGAGATTTCATTATGGGAGAAGGGAAAGGGAAACAGTTCTTTTATACCTCTTTAGGTGGATAAGTTCTAGGTCTTAAAGTTATAATGCCACACCAGAAACAGCTAGTGCCATAAGTCTGAGCTTTAGTAGCATGCCAACAGAAGTAGGATTTGCCTGCCATGAAGGTAAAGAAAGCATAAGGCTGAGTTGCAGTTGGAAGATTTTTTGTCTTGTTAACTAGAAAAAAAACTTTCTGCCAAGGACTAAACCTAAATGGTGATTTGTCTTTTTGTGCGATTTCTCCAATACCTGTAGGAGGAAGTATTTGAATTTGGGCTGTATCTGAAGCTTTTAGTTTTAGTTTGAACCAATAAAAGTAAGACGGCATTGAGAGATAGATGTGGGTCCCATGCAAAGGGCAGTTTCCTTATAGGAGTCTATTTTTGGGGGTGGGGTGGGGTGGGGGGCGGGAGGGGAGGGCGAGGGTCCTTGGCAGCCATGCGCGTTATAGCAACATTTGTGCTATACACACGAGCCTGATTGTTCACCCCTTCCCCGCCCCACCAACCAACCCAACTGTCATACAGTCTTCGGTGTAGAAGCTATTGTTTTCTCTAATTTATTTATTTTGGTTGTTGTTTTTAATTCTGCAACACTGAAGGACTTCTGTATAGATACAGGCTGACAGACTTCAAATGGTGAATATTTCTCCTGTTCCTAAAGCACAACTAGTGTCTCTCACAAATTAAGCAAGCGTAAGAAATTATCACATGCATTTCACTGTAATATAGACAAAGAGGCTACATGCAGCCGTCTTACAGAAACCCACAAAAGCAAGGAAGTTAAGCCACTTGACAGGATGTGCTCTTTACTCCATCCAGCAATCACACCTAACAATTACCTAAACTTCCAAATACTGCAGTGTAACTAGGCTGTTACTAACTTACAGTACGAAGGCTCTTGCTTAAGAATGGCAACCATTCATCATCCCCTTTACATACAACCTTTCCAATTGTCTTTTCCTGAGAACAGCCAACTGCATCAAAGATCTACAGCTATTGTTGGGAAATGCAAAGGAGTGATCTGGACAAAGGGTTAATTATGTTCAGAAGGTCAGAGTAAACAGAAGTCTTAAGTCAGATGGTTTTGCCTCTCAGTTTAAGGTGCATCTATAGAGAGGTCTAACTACATCACGGATAAGGATAAGTTTTATATTGCAGTCATATCTTGCAGGCCTCATTTAGGGTTGTGTTGTGCAAAGGCAGACCACTTCACAAGAATTATCCTGAGGGTACAAACGGTACAAGGCTGCAGGTTTTTTTTAAATTTCTACTTTCTTCACATTCATTGCCACCCATAAGTTTGCAGTATACAGTACTCCTATACTGCTTGTCAGGTGCCCACAGAATTGCATTTGTCCTGTATGCATCTTTATTAAACTATCTCCGGGGTTTACAGTCAGTAGCATAACTCTCCTACCCCTGCTCTTAAGGGGTAATGGGTTTTTATTTTAAATGAAAAGGAGGTATTGTCTAATATGGGGAACTACAGGAGAAGAATAACTGTGTGTGCCAGTCTCTCATCTTTTGGTAACTTAGCAGCATAAGAAGTCTAAAAATAGAAGTACTCTAATGCTACATATAGTTATTCTCTTGCTCTGAACAACTAAATCATTATATACGGTGGCAGTATTATGGACTGTTCTTTCCTAAATTGCAGTAGGTTTTTTCAAGGCTGACTCATTTTACAAGAAATATACATGCTTAGCAAGATGTCTGACCAGCACTAGATGTTGCAGGTAGCTGGTTAGCAGAAGATCTTTACACTTTCTAATCAAGCAAATAGTATGTAGAAAAAAGCAGTGCTTAAGAGTGACTGGAGAAATTCTGCTGACCTCTCTTTACAGCTGTGAAAGTGACATGGTTATTGCAGATCAAAATACTTCAACCATTTAAACTTTTGGGCTTGTAAACAGCATGCTTATTCAGGGTTATTTGACTCAATGTACCCTGGCTGTACTGATTCTGCTTCTATAAACAACACTGGTACTATTTCCCTCCCCCTTGCGTGGCAGGAATACAGAAATACCAAGCCACTTCAACCTTTGAGCCCAACAAATCTGGCCTTAACTGCCAGCAGAGGCTCATAATTTTAGATCCAGCAGTCAGGAAATCAGTACATGCTGACATGTCTCATGGACCTTTTGTTACATGAAGAATTTTTTAAAATTTGGATCATATAGTTATATTTATCACAAACGGTATAAAGCCATGCATTATGCACAGAAGACTGGAATATACATGTGACTTTGAATGTATGGCTAGACAAAATGTTTAATTTAGGCTTAAATTAGAACATTTTAAAACACTTTCATTCATAGAAAGGCAGTGTGGTCCATGGTAGTAGGTCCTAACCTTTACCGGCCCATGGGAAACGGTACTAGGCAGGTAATGCATTGTTGACAACAGCATACACTCTTCTCCTTGTTGTGCGGGCCGGCTCCCGATCTCGGGGGCGAGCCGGGCCCGCCTTTGTGCACACAGGCTGTGGCCAGCAGCCC